TCTCCCTTGGCCACGGCTACGTCTCTGCCTCCTCTTTCACCCGGCAGCTCGCTGCCAGGCCCCACCAGCAGCCACTTAATTAGGCAGCCAAGGCTTCCTGATTTCGTGGATTTGGATTGGATATAGGCTGAACCTATTTCACGCTATATCTAGTTTATTTTTTTTAAAGCCCTGAGAAATTGCTAATCCCCTTTAAACATGTTGGCTGCCTTGTGTTTTTTCCTATTTTCATTACTAGAACCACAAAAATACCGTTTGGACTCTAACAAAATTTGTTTGGTGCCCTTTTTGATTGAAATGCCCTTCATTGACATGAAGACATGAGATTACAGTCTCCCAGCTTGGTTACTTTCTGCCACAGTAAGTGATGAAACTCCTGTCTGTGAGATCAAGCAGAGAGATAAATGTCCCCAGCAACATCTATGTAAATAAATTCCCTTTCCTTAATTTTTCACTCAAATACATATGCAATGTTCTCATTTTTTAAACTTTTTTGCACTGCTAGAAGATTCCTGCCCTGAAAGAAGTCGAAGATGCAGAAGCATTAACCTTAGTGTGAACCTATATATTACATTCAAGAAAAGATGGATAAATCTGTAAGCAGAAAACAACTTTTAAAGTTGCTTAATAAAAAAAAAAAAAAGGTACTTAAAAGCAAAGCAATTTTTTCAAGTAGATACTTGCTTGCGGTCCATTAACTTCAGTATTTTCTTTAAACCAAGAGCAATAGCTAAACTAAACACTTCTGATTGGAACACAATCATTCTGCATGTTTATAATGCAATGGAAAATGTACGGCTGTTAATGGATGTGGTGACATTGGCAATTTCTCAAGCAGCAGAGAGTCCTTCACAGCTCAAGTTTGTGTACAGCTTACAATAAACTTCTAAATGGAAGAATATTGCAAGCCAAAATGGCCAGTTCTTTATATAGAGTAGTTACAAAATAAATATACTTGCATGCATACCTACTAGAGTATAGTATTCTATGTGCCTATGTATTCTATGTATAGTATTATATGTATAATGATGTAAGTAGCTTTACCTAATGGACATTGCCTCTTAGCTGGTATCTGCGTGACTCTACGCAAGTCCTTCTCTAACTTGACTCTACGCAAGTCCTTCGGGGGGCAAAATAGACTAGATAAATGCCTGACCCTTACAGGTATTCTGGCACCATTATTAAAGGATAAGTTCACTTTCCCAAGTGAATTTGGAAAAATTTAATTACCCGTTCAAATCTGGCCCCCTCACCACCCCCTGCTATACTTACCTTTGGGCTACGCTCCTTCCCCTCCGCTGGTACGGATGTACTATCCATACCTCGTAGTGCTATGTAGCACAGCCCTTCGCTATGGATTTTGAATTGTGCTTGCAAATGGAGAGCATCCATTGGACCACGCTGACCAATGAGTGCTGGCCATATGCAAGCGAAATTCAAAATCCATAGCGCTGGGCTGTGCTACACGACAGTATGGGGTACCTACAGAGGAAGCGTTCACCGAAAGGTAAGTATGGGGGGGCTAGATTTGATTCACTTGGGAAAGTGAACTTACCCTTCAAATTGGAAGCAAGCAGTTGGGTTATTCTTTTAAGGATATAGATTTTGATTTTGTATTTAGTAGTAAATATTTAGTAGTAAAAAATGTTTACTTTACCTTCTAGAATAGTTGTTATTTTTGTTTAACTATTTTGTCACCGATTCTCTTGCCAATCAAGGAATTCTCCATATGTATATTTTATTGTTAATTTCAGAGTGAAACACCTAATTCTTGTTGATCCATGGGGCTTCCCAACCTTGCCAACAGACCCCAGTGAGATGCGTTCTCCTCCAGCATGGGTAAAAGCTATTGCTGTCGTTCTTGGACGGTCCAATCCTTTGGCTGTTGTGAGAGCAGCGGGACCTTGGGGTGAGTTCTTACTATCAATATGCACATACTAGTTAAAGAGTCAAGTTGACTAGTTTAGTTTAATTAGGCTTTTTGCATCTATTGAGGAACTAAATAGCCCATCCATATGTGGCCACCATAATATGGAAATCCTACTCTTTGATACAAATTTTTTCAGTTATTTTACATTATGAAAACTTAATTCATGGTCCAAGAATTACAATAGGAAGGTCACACATAACCGGATGCCTTTAGATATGTAGAAGGTGAAAACTTTTCTGTGACAATCCATGCTCTAATTAAAAAGTTATAGACACAAGACATGCTACCATTGCAATACCAATGGAATAAAGTACAAACACTGTATGCTTTATACTTAAAAGATGGGACCCCCTGGGACACTATAGAGCACTGCTAAACACTACCTTTTTAAAATTCTCTCTAATAGTATAGCAGCTACAATGGAAACCAAACACGCTTAAGGGCTTGAAAGTCAACAGGTCACATACTGTCATTACAAATACTTAACAATACACATTAACAAGAAGTATAAACATATCACCTGTTTGATTAATTAAAAACAGAATTTGCTGTATCATTGTGTATATAGATATGTAGGTATTTAGAATGTGATATCAGAAAAGCTAATCAGCACGGTAAAACCTATGTTTTCAGGTTGTACAGCCCACATGCCCAACCATTCATCCTTATCACACTAAATATTTTTATGGGACTGATACAGTGTGATGCATTGGCATGTTTTTTAATGAGGCATTAGTGAAAGGCATTTGAAATTTCAGGCACACAAACTACAGGTTGCATCTTCAATAAATGAGTGCAGACACCAGGGCCTGCTGCTGATATACACATTGGCATAAGATTTAAGAATGCACAAATCAACAGAATTGGTATTCTGGTCAATCAGGAGAGAACAAAGTACATGTGTGAATCTAGAAGGGCTAAAAAAGGCAAAAGCATACCCCTTTTATACCTCCAAAGGAGGGGGGGCAAATAATTCCAAACTAATCTTCTCTTGCTTTGGTCAGTTCAGAGAATGAAGTTGGTGAAGAAATGAAAGCATGTGTAATAATTCCCAGAAGATGTTATATGTGGCCTCAAAAAGAGGCCAGACATGGACAATAAATGTTCAGCTGTATAACTATTTATTACTAGGGCCCAGATTGGTGCAGAGATTTCGTCCAGACTTGAAAAGGAAATTTGAGGAGTTCTTTGAGGATGACACCATAATGGAATACATTTACCACTGCAATGCTCAGACACCAAGGTAGGTTGATTTGCGATGATTAAAACGTACTGAGAACTGCAAATTTTACATTTAATTACAGTATTGTATCAGCTAACTGTTTTTAGAAGTGATGCACCGATACCGGTTTTTCGGTATCGCGTAAGAGTACCAATATTTTTTTCCCGATACTCACCGATGCCGAATACCGATACCAGAAGTCCCATTCGTGTAATGACTTGCCACCTGGCTTCCTGATTAGCCAGGAAGCCGGGCGGCGTGTAAAGAGTCGCCACCCGGCTTCCCAATTTGCAGGAAAACTATATCCATGCTCCCTCGTCACCAGGTGACGAGGAAGCATGGAGCTGGCTTTCTGGCCAATCGGGAAGCCGGGCGCGCCGTGTGATGATGCAGTGCCTGGCTTCCTGATTGGCCAGCTTCTCACCCAATCAGGAAGCTGGGCAACGCGTCATTACACAGCGCCTGGCTCCATGCTCCCTCGTCACCTGGTGACAAGGGAGCATGAAGCTGGCTTTCTGGGCAATCGGAAAGCCGGGGGACAGGTAATGACTCACTTACTGTGCTATAAATAAGTGAATTGATATAGCACAGCAGCTGATACTGTTTAGTGTAATCATTGCATTCACTTTAGGAGAATATTTAGCGCAGCACATTTGATATATATACAGGTAATGACCCGCTGCCCGATGCCTAGCCTGATACCAGAAGCTCAAGTATCTGGCTAGGCATCGGAGCATTTGGGTTTTGTAAGGTACTTTTATTAGAGATGAGGGGAAGTGCAGTCAGCAGCTGAACAACTGCTTCCATGAAATCAATGGTAAATTAAGCCTCGTGTCATTGTACTTGGTGATAACTGTGGTGATAATAAGTTCAAGAGTGTAGTATTGACTGCACCTTTAATTAAAGTGGTGATTGAAGGTGGGGCAATGTGTTTCTGAGTTGGAAATTTTATAGTACAAGGTTCAAGCTGGAGATCAGATATTAGTCAGGGACAGGGCAGGGGCCATACATCAAGAATTAGGAGGAATGGTCAAGGCATGTAACTGTTAGTAGGTACCAGGAAACAGTGGCACACCAAATGGAATCAGGACCTGCAGTCAAGTGAATAAGAGTTATGCAACAGGATTTCTGATCCAAAGCCATCTTCCGCTTGGAGACTGTATTGCTTTCCATACTATACATTGCCTCAGCCAAACAGCTGCTATTCAGTAGCTCACCAACATCTAATGAGTCGGCTGGAGGAGGTGTACATAGACTTGCAGTGAGATGGGGAAAAATTTAAACTTACTATGCTGTGTTGTTAAACAAGGATCTCATCATTTATACTGCATTTCTGTTGCAGCCCTGTGTACATGTATGGTACAATTTACAAACCAGAAGTAGATTTAACTTTTGTTGGCAGGAGCATCAGTTGTGCTAACATAGCTGGTACAGTTAATACTAAACAGTGAAGTTCCCAACCTTATGAAGTTGGTTCTTTGCACTTGCAGAATAGCTGGATTATTTGTCTTTGTACGTAGTGTAAAACTTACTGTTAGTATTTCTTTTATGTTTCTGTTAGTGGTGAAAGTGCTTTCAAGACCATGATGGAGCGGTTTGGCTGGGCTAAGCGACCAATGATGTCTCGTCTTCATTTGATTCCAAAAACCCTTCCTATCACATTCATCTATGGGGCAGAGACCTGGATTGACCGCAGCACAGGGGAAAAAGCCCAACAGCTACGACCTGACTCCTATGTGCACACATTGGTAAGAGCTTGAAAAGGGTGGTTTCTATATGCAAGCAACAAAAAACGTGTGCAAAATTTTTATGATAAATTCTCTGTTTCTATCTAAAGACTGATGAACTCCATTTACATTTCTGTTCTACGGTTTAGATACTCTTTTAACTATTTTTGTTACTACCGCTTTTAGCCTGGTGATACAAGCTCAACATATTTGTTTTCTCCAACACATTGTAACAAATTTATGATATAGTTATAGGCTTGAATTGACCTAGGAAAGGCGGCACAGGTTGCATCTGATCAGGGTGGCTAGGATACAAACACGGGCATTACCCATATGAACGCATCTTTATTAAGCACAGCTGGTAACTGAACACTTTAATGTCACCTCCCATGCTCTTAGAATAGGGAGAACATACCGTAGGTTTTCATGCACATGAGGTTGCCTTTAAATGTTAATGCCCAAAATAGATGGTTCTAGCACAAGTGTGCAGCATGAATGCTGCTTTGTTCACATGTTAGTAGCTCATAGGCCCACATATTATATACTTATTATATATTAAGGCTTTGGTCATATAAAGTAATCAGAAGGGGTACAAAGGTGCCAATACACAGGGTCATTATGGGGTGTTGGTGCTTAGGTGATTGTACATGGCTTAGCATCTGGTTGTAGTACTTCTAGTCCACAGCAGTCATTTCACAACAAAGGTTGTAAATAAGTCAGGGGCTACAACTCTTTCATTTGTCAGATCTTTAGCTTCTTCTCTTTATTGAAAGAGTTGCTACACCAAAATCAGTAGTGTAGTTGGGTGTAATGGAAAAAAATGGCTGTCTTTGAAAGATGCTCAGCCATCCAGATCTTGGAAGAAAACCACAAGTAGTCATTTCTGCTGCATAGTAAAAAAACTGAACTTATTCAGTTATGTCAGCAAAGAAAAGATCTTCATTTCTTCATCCTATGTCAACCTTGAGGGACGGTGCAGACCTGAGTGATCCGGGACGCAGGTCCCGGGATTGCGTGGTCATGCACTATTGCAGACAACGATTGCTGCGCTGCCCCATTGATTTCAATGGGGTACATCCGAGCGGCAATCGCAGGAAAAAAGGTACATGTAACGTGATCGTGTTTGGTTGCACGGGCGGAATCGCAGCAGGAAACCGCGTGATGAGCCCGGCACCCACAGTGCGATCGTCGGTGGTGGGCGACATCGTGCATGATTGCCATGTGGTCACGGATCGCCCAGGTGTGAACCTGGTCTTACAGTTTCCCAAACCAGTCGAGTCAATGCAAAGGAACAGGCTTTATGGATATCCACCGAGGTAGATATAGTGTTGCTGAGAAACTAACACTTCGGTTTGTGGATACAGTATATAAGGTTGTATACAAAACATGCAAGATAAATGGCATTTGTAGACAGGCATGGGAAAGCATGTACTAAGCAACTGCACCTTTCTACATTTCATCACCTCCTATCTGCTGATGCCTAAATTAAATCTTTAGTGTATATTGGTAAACTTATTATATTTTCTTATCCTCAGGCCATCAAAGGTGCCTCTCACCATGTGTATGCAGATCAGCCAGGTATCTTCAATGAAGTGGTGGAAGAGATTTGTGATGCGGTGGATTGATAGTACCCCGAGTCCTCCCGAAATAAGGAAAAGCTCCTGGTGTGTGAACCAGGCTTACTAATCTAAAATACCAATAATGGCTCACATTTCAGCTTTATTCTTTGAGCTGGATAGTTTAGAGCCATTTTTTTTCTAAATGAAGTAGGTTTCCCACAGTGCCACAGCAGTGCATGGTGCCCTCTCCTGGTGATATTCACCAACGGTATGCCTGATCTTTCTATTGGAGCACTAACTAGTAAAAGAAAGTTAACCAATCTTTCTGGGTTTTTTTATACTCTATATTGGAAGATTGTCACTTAGTTTGAATTTATAAGGAGTTACAGCAATGAATGTTTGACCTTAATGTGCCAAAATTGTCCAGTGCTTAAGATACACAGATTACTGTAGTAGAGGAGCATATACACAGGCTCACATAAAAAAAACGATTCAAAGCTCTGAGTAGGCATTCTAGTAGAATGACATTGCCTTTGTCAATGTTGGCTTCTAGTGGACGTGTAAACTAGGGCCCCTAAAAGTGTAAAAAGGTATGATTTTCAGAAACCTGTGGATTACATGTTTGATGTTGCCACTTGCCAGTACTACTTCTCTAATATGCAAGGAGTCTATTTTATATTAAGGTAATATCCAGATCAATAATAGTGATGCATCTTATTTTTATTGTATATGGCAGAACTGGTTATGGTAAATTTGTTCTTTTGTGTAATCTGTGGTATGTTTTATTTGCTTAAAGATGAGTTTGTGTAGTTCTAATTATATCTCTATACGTGATATGAGATGTTGTATTGCCTCCTTTAACATTTTAGCAACGACAACATGAAGACTTTCTGGCATTCGTTTGTAAAGAGCATCAATAGTTAAGGCAGGCTTATTCAGTGAGGCAAATAAAGGGCAATAGCCAATGGCAAAAAATAGGAATCTAATGTTCACTGATCTAACTTCCCTAAACTAAAATCTGATTGGTCCTTATATGTCTAGTGGTTCATAACAGAACCAGAAAGTAGAAGGAGAACATCCATTGATGTTTTATTGATCTATTGAATCCTGTTTTGCATCTTAGTTGCTTATGGTAGAGGAGCAGTGCCAAGACATGTTTAATATATTGCAGCTTACCAGTCCTTCAATGTGGTTGCATTAATTCAATTTTTTTCAGGCATTTTTAGCATGTACAGTAAAAAAAAAAAAAAAAAAAATCAATTTTTTGCCAGAAATGCAGTGCCATTGTCACCCCCAGTGAGCTGAACTAAAAGGACAAACAATGTTATCTTGTGTTAACCACTAATCCCATCACCTCACATTTATTGGTGATGTTTAAAATTAACCTGGGTGTATACCCTGGCTCCTTCCATAGGTACAGTGGAGGCGAGATTGTAGCCATTCAAGGACAGAAATATATTATATATATTTCCTTCTTCAGAGAAAAGTTTTTATGGATATTATTTTTCTGTCCATTTTTACTATACGCGTTGACCACACTACCATCCAACATTCAGTATGACCATGTTGACTTTCGAGCAGTAATATGGGACACTGGTGGGCTCTTTGTTTCAGGTCATCTAGCTATCCAAAGGCTGTAAAGTGTATCACACCAGGATGCGTCAAATTGGATGAACACACTTATTTAAAAAAATGTAATAAGTAAAGTGCAGCTACCGTTTCCCTACTGCTTCTAGAAACTGATTCTTATGTTGTCTTTTTGAATGAGCCTGATTGTCATGTAATCGTGTTCTTAACCTCCTACCTCTGTACTGTTCTGTACTGTAGCTTGTTTTAGCAAACGCACTGCACTTATTATCTCCGACATTGTACTCTCACAGAGTGCCTTGGAGATGAGAATAGTTAAAATATATCCCTTTCATATTGTAATTACTCAGCTGCCATCTACTCCTTTTACCTGCCACGCAAGTGATATTTATCAGTATGACATTTTATAAGAATTCTTTCAGTGGTTCTGTGATGTGAGGAGTGAAAAGTAGCAAGAAATGCACATTTGTTTTATTGTCCTTCATATGTACATGCAGATTTTTCCACTTAGCATTGAATCATACAAATCATGATGGCCTGAGTTCCAAAACTGCTTTTCTCTGCAGGCAAATCTACATGCAGATAATCAGGAGAGTGAGCTTTCGGGTGGCCAAAGTCACCAGAGACAGATTAGGGCAGATTGAAGTACTAGGCAAGATGACCGAATTAACAATGGAATTATTGACCCCCTTTGAGTGATAATAATACAGATTGCAATAGGCACAGAGAAGCCGTCCATTTGCATTGTGTGTAATGTAATGGCTCCATCACACAACCAACCACCTACACGTGCATACTTCTTTTTATAGAGATACACAGGGGCATAACTTTGACCAACCAAATCCCCTGATGTACTGAAGGAGCATGTAGATTGTAACAACGTCCAATTGGCCGTAGACGTCTGCCCAGGCGTCCTTTGTAGATTATATGTCTCTGATTCTCACTGGCTGGGTAATTTAGATAAGGGGCGCTTGGCAGGTATGGACAAGTACATGTTATCGGAAAGTGTGCTTGTCCTTTAAAGTGGACCTTGCACTAGCAAGCAAGGTCTGCTTATTAAATACCCCCCCCCCTGCGTAGAATAAACAAATCTCCCTAATACCTATACTTACCTTTCCATCGGCTTCTGTGCTATAGAGAGTGATGTAGCTGAGAGATTCCAGGAAATGCAGAGTAGCCCAAATCTCGCACGATGGTGCTACACAACGGTTCAAGGAGCATCTTCTCAGGGGATTTGGGCTACTCGGTATTGCCCAGGATTTTTCCAGAAGGAGCAATGGCCTATTTGGCATGGGGGAACCACATAGGTTAAGCAAACCTTGCTATTTTGGTTTAAGCAGTTTTGATAAGCAAATCAATCTAACTAGTCAGACAGTTTCTGATTGGTTTTACTGTAGAAAGACAACACACATTAAAGCTGACTGCCCTTGCAGTTTGCTAATATTATTTTTTAGATTATCAGGTGTCAGCTATTATATCCTAAACAATTCACTTTTTGAAATTGCAAATAAAACTTTACTTTCATTGGCCTATATATAAGAAAATAGTTAAAGCTGATATCTGATTGGCTTCTCTTACCTTCAGTTCATTAGATAAAGCACAAGTCCTTTGTATAGGGCAGTGGTGGCGAACCTTGGCACTCCAGCTGTTTTGGAACTACAAGTCCCATGAGGCATTGCAAGGCTCTGACAGCAACAGACATAACTCCCAGAGGCAGATGCATGTTGGGATTTGTAGTTTTGGCACAGCTGGAGTGCCAAGGTTCACCACCACTGGTACAGGGCATTGTTAAATATGGAACACAGTGCCCCCACAAAGCTCCAGTTTATATTAAAGTAAATGTATTTGTAAAATCTGATGTTTGCCAAGCTCCAGATTTTGAAGGTTCATAAAGAATATCTTTCCACTATATGCAGTAACTGGTGCCCTCTTCTATTAACATACTGCTGATTGTGTTTCATTTTATTCATTGGGGGTAGTTTCTTGTTTTTGTGACTTGTTTATTGCAGTTTCAGGTCCAAAAAAATAATAATAAATGACTACTATAAAAGAGAATAGTAATTGAAAAAAATAATTATAATTATATAATAAGTCTATAATATATATACCGTATTTAACAAAACTGATATGCAACAAGTTTCTAAACTACAAACTTGTTTTCAAGAGCATTTTAAGTTCTGTTTTATCCTTAATCATAGCTGTACTGTTATAGCTTTTCATTTGTGGTAACAGAAAAGGTCTTTGTAAGGTGACCTCATATTAATAACACAATGTTATTGGACTGTTTGTAATATTTACATTATGATGAGATAAAACAGTTTTCATACCAATCTTTAGACATCATGGTGCATTGTACAGTTTCACTAACTTTATATTGTTTTCTATTTGAATAAAGTATTGTAACAATGATTACTGTGTTGATCATTTTGTAAATGTGAGCTAATTACCACCAACAGAAATCCATTTTAAAAATGAAGAGATTGTACGCTCAAGAAATGTGTATTATGCCAGCGATGACATTTGCTGAAGGATCTTCTTCAGGTCTACAAATAAGTGTATAAAAACGTAAGTAGATGTCGGAAAACCTAAACCTTCAATGATACCACCCTGGCCTGGGAAAAAGTAAACCTATAATGATACCACGCTGGTCTGGAAAGAAAGAAACCTACCTCGGCCTGGGAAAACCTAAACCTAATGAGAAACCACCGTGGCCTTGAATAATGTAAACCTACAATGATACCACCCTGGCCTGGGAAAATGTAAACCTACAATGATACCAGCTTGGCCTGGGAAAATCTACAGAGAAACCACCGTGGCCTTGAATAATGTAAACCTACAATGATACCACCCTGGCCTGGGAAAATGTAAACCTACAATGATACCACCCTGGCCTGGAAAGAAAGAAACCTACCTTGGCCTGGGAAAATCTACAGAGAAACCACCGTGGCCTTGAATAATTTAAACCTACAATGATATCACCTTGGCCAGGGAAAGCATACATCTATACCACCCAGGCCTAGGTAAATGAAAACCTACAAAGATACCACTCTGGCCTGTGAAAACATAAACCTACAATGAAACCGCCATAGCCTAGGAAAATGTAAACCTACATAGATACCACCATGGCCTGGGAAAACATAATCCTACATAGATACTACCCTGGTCTGGGGAAACTTAAACCTACAAAGATACTACCCTGACCTGGAAAACATAAACCTACAAAGATACTACCCTGACCTTGCTCTTTCCACATACACAATACCTTTCCATTTACAGAACAAACATGATTCACCATATTATCTTTTGGACATACATGATTGGGGTTAATATGCCAATCTACCTCATTAACTGTTTTTACTATTGGCATTAAGCCCCCTTTTTTAAGATTTATACCAACTAATAAATATATATTTCATATATCTTTTTGTCTGGAGTTGTCCTCTTTGGTGCTTTCAAAACCCCACTTTTCTTTCTTCAAAAGATTTTTTTGCATACACTGATACTACCCTGGCCTGAGAAAACTAAAAAGAGAACTATGGCACAACCTTTTTGGCCATAGTTATCTTTAGGGTCACAGGAGGACATATACTAATGTCCTTTGCCCCAAAACTATTGCCCACTATATGCTGACAGCGGAGAGCAACGCTGCAGCCAGGATGGATCCCAACAATGTTGTCAGGATCCACCCCGCTACTTGATTGACTCTCTAACTGTGCCCTTCCCGCTCCGTCCCTTTCAGTCATTGCTGGAAGGATGGAGGGGGGGGGGGGGGGGGGGGCCCTGGGGGGGGGGGGG